GCCAGGGGAGAGACAGCCAGGGGAGAGAGTGACAGAGGGGAGAGAGCGAGGGGAGAATGCGAGGGGAGAGAGCAAGAGCCAGGGGAGAGAGAGCGAGAGAGCCAGGGGAGAGAGCGAGGAGAGAGCCAGGGGGGGGAGCCAGGGCAGAGGGGAGAGAGCGAGGGGAGAAAGCGAGGGGAGAGAGCAAGAGCCAGGGGAGAGAGAGCGAGAGAGCCAGGGGAGAGAGCGAGGAGAGAGCCAGGGGAGAGAGCCAGGGGAGAGAGAGAGAGAGCCAGGGGAGAGAGAGAGAGAGAGCGAGGAGAGACAGCCAGGGGAGAGAGCGAGGAGAGAGCCAGGGGAGAGAGCCAGGGGAGAGAGAGAGAGAGCCAGGGGAGAGAGAGAGAGAGCCAGGGGAGAGAGAGAGAGAGCCAGGGGAGAGAGAGAGAGAGCCAGGGGAGAGAGAGAGAGAGAGCGAGGAGAGACAGCCAGGGGGGAGAGCGAGATGTTTTTTTTTCGTTGGTAGATCTCATGTAGCTCGTCATTTGAAAAGTAGATCTTAACACACAAATTGTGGGCACCCCTGTAGTATATAGATAATGTACACAGTATATACGTTATTTCGATCATATGAATAACCATTCCAGGGTCCATTATATAGTTATAGGATTCTACATGGATATCATCGTGGTGAGATGTCAACACATTTCGCTCTTGGCTTCTTCAGGAACAGAGGTCACCTACAATGTCATGTAAAGAACAATGACGTACTGATTTGTAGTTTTTATTTGACACGTTGCGCAGGTTTTGCACGCAATACTTTGACTTTTAAGGATGTGAATCTGTTACCATGTTGTTTTCAAAGGATGTCACGAGCATCAACAAGGGTGTGCTGGTGGCATCCTTTAAAAACGACATGTATATGACGGCGCCATCCGTGGTCACTACGAGCAGCCTGCCATTATGCGGGTCATCAATTCCGGTAAGGAGTGCAGCAAGACACCTTCTGTTATACTCTGCTACAATGCTGACACCTGAAAAGTCCCATGTAAAGTTTATGCGTAAAAACTCAAATAGCCCGGGGGAGGGTGTTGCCCATTTGCCCCCTTCGCCAGCTCTCCAATGGAAGGAACTTTTATACCAACATAGAGGAGTTCTGGGGTCCGTCTTATAAACTTTATCGCCTTGATCAAGAAAAGCGCACAACGTTGTAATTGAAGGGCCGGCCCACCCCAAAAGTATTATTTCAGTCATGGAAGGATTTTAGTGGCTTGAATCACCCACTGACATCTCTGATACCAGAAGCAAGCCAATAGAGAGGCAAGCGAGGGAATGATTCCAGCAGCAAGAGCCAACCCCGCTCATCAACAGTAAAGACGGGTTGAGGGGGGCGGAGCTTGGAACCCAAGTGCAGGAAGTGGTGATACAGTAAACCATTCCCCAGTCCTCCTGGGTAGCTTTCATTTTGTGGATCAGAAGCATACCTTAAAGGAGAACTATGGGGTTAGGGCTTTTCCCCATAGTTCTCCTTAGGGTAACAGGAGGACACAAACTGGCGTCCTCCCGTTACCCTAAGCTCAGTATATAGGGAGCTACAGCTCGCGGTATACTGAGACGCCGCAGCCGGAGCGGATCCCGACATCGATGTTGAGATCCGCCCAGCTGCGTGAGTGACAGCTGGCTCTGCATATCTAGAGGCAGAGGCAGCTGTACCCGCCCCCTCCCCCGTCCGATCAGCCAGTCAGCGCTGGCGGATCGGAGCGAGGAGGGGGGAATCCAGTCCCTCCCCCTGTCACGGCAGAGAGCCGTGACAGGATCGAGAAGTGAGCGAACGCCGGTATGTGTTCGCTCACCTCCCGATCTACTGAGCCGACCTGTGACAGTCTCATTGTCACAGGTCGGCTAGAACTATGAGGTGAGTGAAAAGCACCTCCCCCTCATAGTTCTCCTTTAAAGTCTATTTCCAACCTTTGCACCGCTGGTCCACAAACCCACCCTGAGAAATGCAATGCAGCCATCGCATGTAGACAGGAAGTGGGTGCAAAGATACTGCAGGAGATGAGAAAAGGGATGAATAAAGGTAAAGATTTTTTTTTTTTAAATGGCAATTGTTTTGGTTTTACATTTACTTGAACAAGCTGCTTTTCTTTGCAGTGGGTAATTCAACCGGCAAGTATCCATTCAAAACTGAAATGAACATTACATTGTATTCTTTTTCATATTAACATGAAGGGGATGAGATTCGTCTTTATTCTACATTATTACAACTAGTAGCATGCAGCTAGAGAGAGAGCAGAGTGACAGAGTTGAGCTCATCAGTCTGCTGCTGCTCCTTGCACTGTCCAATCACTGGCTGAGGGAGGGGTAAGACCTGTAAGTGTTACTGAACAGCAGCAGAGAAAAATCAGGTCTCCTCCCCTGCCAGACAGGGCTTTACTCTGTGCCAGAGCTGTTTTAAATCTCAGGTCTGAATGGACAGAAATAATAGGTTGAACGGCTGAGGAACGGAGATTTGTTTTACTCTACAGTATTACGTCTAGAAGCATGCAGTTAGTCGTGAGCGCACTTACTGTCCAGCTCGTACTGGGTGAGGGCCGGTTCACTCAGGTTCCGGATCAGGTAGGTCGCTATACGGAATGGTAGAGCAAGGATCGGGGTGGGAGAGGGAGTGAGGAACAAACGGAGGACAGGAGTGAGGCAATGTTAGTATACACAGAACAAAGACATGCGGATGCACAGGCAGCTCTATTCACACGCACAGCAGCATACATAAAGAGAACCTGTCATCGGTACAAAAGTGACCGAACGGGGGTTGTAAAGGGGCCACAGGATGCCAGGAAAGTGCATTAGGGGAATCCCTCGTGTGTGTCAAGGGATCCCCCAGACCCTTGGAACGTGCAGTATGCAGATAGAGCCTATGCGCCCCCCTCCATCCCATTACAGCACATAGGTATCTCTTAATAAGATCCTTATGCTCAGGCTATATTTACATCTCAACTGCCATCTCGCCCTTTCCTGTTGCTAGGCCAGGTTAGGGTATGTAATGAGAACATTGGGCCAATCTCAGAAAACAAGCAATTTGAAGGAACGTTCCTAAGAAAGGTTGTTCATGCAGAAGATTGATGTGGAGTGCTGGAAATATTGGCTATTGCCTATACAGTATGTCTATATCTGATCATATACAATACACACGCACAATTTTGGAGAACAGTTGGATTTTCGCTGGCAGCCTCGAGTGTGTATTTCACGAATGCAATTTTTTTTCCAAGAGAGAAAATTGTTTCTTCTCACAAAGTCTCACAGATCTAGTGCAGGAGGTCTCATATCTGTGCTTAGATATACAATGAATGGCCAAAGGTTTGTGGACACCTGACCATCACACCTATATGAGCTTGTTGAACATCCCATTCCAAAACCATAACATAAAGCACGTATCCATGCAACCATCAATTGATAAACAGGCGTACAAAGACATTGTAGACAATTGAACTCTTCCAGCCTTGTGGTAACAGTTTGGTTTCTGTTCCACCATGATTGTCCCCTGTGTAAAAAGCCAGCTCCATAAAGACATGGTGTGACCAGCTTGGTGGAGGAACTCGAGCGTCCTGCACAGAGCCCTGACCTGAAATGGAGCCAGGTCTTATTTTGGGGTTCCTCCAGCAGTGGAAGACTGGTAGACAGGAGATCCATGCTCTCTACTCAAGGAACCCCTAGAAACCTCTGGCGGAGCCCCAAGACCAGAAGACCCAATTCCAAATTTGGCATTCCAATTAATGCCATAGTTGATCTACAGGACAACTTTGGGATGAATTGGAAAGCCGATTGTGAGCCAAGTCTTCTTATCCGACATCAGTACCTGAACTCACCAATTTTCTTTTTCTTTTAGCCTGTGGAGCGTGCTCAAAACACCCAAAATGTGAACCAAAAAAGTGCATGTGAACACAAAAAAGTGCACAGCCAGGGTGCTGTCTAAAGGGTCCGTCTCCCGAAGAGATATGGCCCATCCCTGAACCCCCACGGCGCAAGGCACTCATGTCCACCTAGCCGAAAGCAGGCGGACCCATTCCTCATGGCCAGCCGAAGCGGACCACCGAGTACTCGGTTGGGTGCTCCCCCAAAGGGAGAACCCTGATGACAGGGGAGGAAGGAACCTGAGGGCCACACATCCTCCCCCTAGACTTCAAGGTAGGCCTGAAGACCCACACCGTCCATCCTGTGGAGTGAAAAACACAAAAAAAAAAGTGTAAAGGTGCACAGTGAGAAAAACAATCTAGAGTGCCAAAGTGAATACAATGGCTAGGCCTTGCAGCCCGGTAATAAAGATTAACCCTGGTCTTAGCCAAAAGGCCTAGCCCAAGAGATGTTGTGCGGCAAAAAGTAAAAGGTGTTGTGCCAAAGTGCCGTTCACACTGATTAGGGATGCACCGATACTAGTATCGGTATCGGTGCCGATACCGAGTATTTGGGTGAGTACTCGTACTCGCCCAAATGCTCCGATACCTAGCACGAGTACTTCCTGTATCAGGAAGCCGGGCAGCGCATCATTACACGCTGCCCGGTTTCCTGATTGGCCAGGAAACGGCTCCATGCTCTCTCGTCACTTGTGATGAGAGAGCATGGAGCTGACTTCCCGGCCAATCAGGAAGCCGGGTAGCGTG